ACATACATAATACATTCATAGGGAAAACTTATCACAAATATTACATAAACCCTATGTCCATTCATACACAAATTCTTACCCAACAATAACCACAAATAATCATAACTATATACACATATATCAAAACAAGGATTACCAATCAAGATAATCGAGAACACATATAACACACAATCATAAACAAACAAATGTAAGCTTCCTCATACCTTGGCCAATCCTAAGGCTTTATCTATATTTCCCAAATACCACCAATCTTTCTTTGCACTAAGGGATTTCTTTTGTTCTTTCTCTTTTCTTCCAAACGTCTATCTCCTATGTTTTTCTCTTTGATTTTGAGTTTTTGGGGTTTCTAAACACCATCTGCCCTTTCTCTTATTATAATATATATTTTTTAAACCAATTCTATCTAAAGTCTTAATTCCCTTCTATCACATGTTTTCTATCCTTTTTATTTTAATTCAAACTTTTTTACTTCCTAAATCCCCTATTTAATTTCAACACCAATTAAATAAAGATAAAAACCTATTTTGCCCTTAGGCAAACATATAAATAAAATAAAATAAATAACATAAAAATTATGTTTTAACACATTCAAAAACATTAATTTCCAAAAAAAAATATTCTCAAAACTACATAATCCTATTTTTTGATATCATAAAGTATAATTAATAATTCTTGATTTCATTACTTCTGTGTTAAAATTTAAAATAATTAATTTTATTAATTAAAATAAGACATTGTTTAATATATAATTAATGATATTTAATTTTATTAATTTATGTTGAAATCTAAAATAATTAACTTCACCAATTAAAATAATATAAATTCATATAACAGATTTTCTAAAGACAATTAATACTTTTTTTGTGTTTTATTATTACAATAATTTTCTAGCATAAAAAAAAACACTTTAGAATTTATAATGTCTTAAGCAAAAATATTTATCTGACTCTTAGAAGGCGATGTCTCAGTGAAAGCTTGAAATGTGAAGACTTAAAACGTTTGAAAGGTATGGTAAAAAATCTCACTGAAATTTTTAGCCTTTTCCAAATTCTTCTCTAATGGAAATATTGTACTTTTTCATGGAAAAAAAATTCCCCTTTCTTCATATTGTGTTTTGTCACTCCTTCAAATTAATTTTTCTTGTTTGTTTTGAATATAAGTGAATGATAAATTTTGGTGTGAATAAAATAAATGATCAAAAGTTATATAACTTATGGCCTTTTTTGTCCTCTAAATAAAGTGATATTGTATTCATGATTATTGAGGTCAGAAGTTATTTAATGTCACAATTAACTATAAACTTCTGTAAAAGTAAAACTACATCATTAATTATAGTAAATATTTCGAAACTCTATTAATTTGCTTTTTCTGGTAACATATTTCTTAAAATTTGTGTAGACAAAATTGTCAAAAATTTATTGAGTTTAAATCTAAACTTTTAGATCTTGAAAATAACTTGCTTTTAGATCTTGAAAATAATTTTTAGATCTTTAGAGAAACGTTGTTGCGTATGTTCTTATTTTGAGAAATTATGTATTAGCATTTTAGCGATTTGCGTAACTTTTCATATAAGGCCTTAGGTTTTCATTTTATTTGAGCAAGTGTTTAGACGTTATAGGTCAAGTAGACACTTCTCTTCCTGAAAGAATGTTTCGTATAATGTTTATTGTTAAACTTCAAAACTTGGGTTGCTTTTACGTTAATAGTAGAAGCCTAAACTCATGGAATTGTAGATATTGTAACAGTTGAATAAAAATTGGTGACTAAGGTTATTTTAATTAAATACGGGATTAGAACTTTAGTTTTATACTCTTCTTACTTTACTTTACATTTTAAAATAAAATCTCTAAGAGTTAATCTATTAATATAGTATAAATAATATAAGATATAAGGAATATAGAATATAAGTAATTCACGGTTAAGATAGATCTAAACCTGCTCATTATACAAAATATTGATATATATTGTACGACTTACCTTGTTAACTATGAAACAACTTACTAGAAACACAAGATAGTCAATCTGAAACGTCACAAAATCCTCAACTCTCCAGGAATGCACTTAACACCAAGGAACATGTTCCAGACTCGTTCAACTTAAATACTAAGAAAAAACAAATTAAATTTTTTTTCAATAGTAGTAATAAGTTAAGATAGTGTAAATGCCAAAAACTAATTCACACTATCTTAACTTAATATATAAATAATATATATATATAATTATATAATTCTTTATATTCTTCTATCTTTATCAAATTTATGGTTCCGATTGGTGCAAAACCAATAATACTAATTTACAATTTAATATAAGGACTTTTCCATCAATAACAAAAACAAGTTACTCATTAAGTAGAGAAAATATCATTTCAATTAAAAATAAAGTATGTTATTAATGAATGAATTTTATAGATTTTGTAAGAATGGAATAAGAGGGCCAATTATCCATCAAATTTTCATAATTATATACCATTACTATATAACTAGGTTTCGTTGTAAAAAAAATCTACTTACTCAGTATTGTTGCATAGGTAGAGTCACAAAGTGTAAATTGTACAAGTTAACCATTTAATGAATAAAGAATTAAAAGAGAAAGGCTAATATACAAAGAGGACATGGTAATTATGTGGAAAGTTATATTCAATGAAAGTCATGTGTACGACTTGGAAAGATATCTTTCGTACGTTTTAAGATCTACCCTGTAATATGGTATAAAAAAATTAAATTAAATTATTTTAACTCTTATAAAAGTTCTAAAAAAATAGATTCTCTTTTCACATTCATATCACATCGAAGTACTACATAAGAAAAAAAATTGCAAAATATAATTTTTTATCGTAAATTGATTAGTTAACATGTTAGTTAACTGTATTATGAAACACAGAAAAAAAAACATTAACTTATCAAATTCTCTATCAAGCTATGAAAAAATAAGACAAAAACAAATCCAGTATCTATTTTACATCAAACAATACGTACGTAGAGTAACTCTCAATATAGCATTAAAAGCAAGAAATGTAAGAAGATTAACTAATCAAATTCCTGTTGAAATAGGATTCATACAAAAAAAAGCACTTGTCATAATTTGATTATTAGGGACTTTCGAAAATCGTCGTGGTCAAAATATAACTTTCAAATTAAGTTCTGAATCAGTGAATGTTGCCAAAGGTAGTGGCAACTCATTTTACTTAACATAACTTAAGTAAAATTATCTATTTATCACTATGTAAAGGTAAGACAACTCCTTTTACATTTCCTTATTAATAAATGAAGAATCAATCATTAATATTAGTTGAAGTCTTCAAGTTAAACAAAAAATATATTTGGAAGCGTTTAACCAAAATTTGAGATATACTATGGTGCTTCAAGGCAAAATCAATAATGACAAACCATTTAGTTTTTAGATAGTTTTGAAAAGTAATTTTAGTCAAATTTTGTTCAATTAGAAGTAAATTAAAATATGCACTCTTAAGTCATCAATAAATCATTTTGAAACTCATAAAAATTGTAAAGTTTTAAAACCTAAGAAGAATTAAGCTACATACTACCCAAAAAATAAAAGTAAGAGGCATACAAAAGAATTTTGTTATTTGAATATTGGAGATTGAAAAGTAAGATATATATTTGAAAAAAATAATACTATATTAGCGTATAAAAAGATATTTTTGTTAAAAACACTAATTCACTTTTAGTATCATTAGTTGAATTTGTTTATACTATTTTTTTAAGTGACATTATATTTCCACTATTTTATAACAAGACTACATACTTTATACAATTGAATTTGTAAAACAGGTGAACTAATTAATGTTAACTTTGGTGCAGGAAAAATGAACAAAAGTGTGTAAGTTCATATGCCCATTTGCCAATTTGATGAAAATCACGAGATTCAAAGTAAAATTTCATATTATAGTTTGTAAAAAAATATAAAGCGTTCAGATATTACAAGTATTTGCCAATTTGATGAAAATCACGAGATTCAAAGTAAACTTTCATATTATAGTTTGTAAAAAAATATAAAGTGTTCAGATATTACAAGTATTTGCCAATTTAATGAAAATCACGAGATTCAATTTAAAATTTTATGTTACAGTTTTTAAAAGATAAGTGTTAGCTATTACAGGTTCAACTTGTAGGTGTAAATTTGTTTAAATTTTCAGAGACATTTCCTTTAGCCTTATTGGTTTTGTAATATCAATTAGGCAGACATTATCTTGCACATCTAGAATTTATACATCCCCAATTTTATGTACTAAAAGCTTTGAATGAAAATACATCCAATAAAAACAAATCTGGTCTACAAATGATTTTTTTAATACCTTCCCAGAAAAGAGTTGGACATGTTTGGTGAATACCTATTTTTCAGCAACAATAATAATGACAAATTCTTTCCCACAATGCTTCAGCCATAACCAGTTATGGTTTGCACTATAAAGATTTTTTTAAGTTTACATCATTGTTAGTCCATCTTTAGACTGACTGCATTTTTTATATCATTTTGACTCTTCATCCATATAACATGATTGTATGTCTAAAAGAATCATCTCTCAAAACTTTTAAAGAATCTTTTCTCTATAATTTTGATCCAAATAGCAAATAGGCCATGAAAATAAAATTTTACGTTTATACAGTATTCTCCAACATAACCACATATATATTCCTTATATGGAAATTCATTTCTCTCCTTCATATTTCTGAAATTTCTAATATTCTAAACAGCAGCACTCTTCAAACTGCAACACATGAATTCCATCACATCTCATCCACACGTCCTCGACATTTATGTGTTCAACCCAAGTTGAAGTTTCCAATGGTTTGAATTGTTCTATTTGCCATCCCTCCCAAAAACACTCTCTTACTAAACTCTCAAATCAAATATCCCTTTTATCGAAACAAAGTAGGACCAATATTTGAGAAGCTCCCATTAGGAAACCATAGTTCTTTGATCGAAAGAAGACTTTGATGGAATTATTTGGATAGATAGATAGATATACGCGTTAGACATGTTCAACAAATTCCAAAATTCGATTCAATCCCAATTTCACAATAGACCAAATTAAAAAAGAGCATAATGATTTAAAGCCTAAGCAACAATGACAGTAAATAAAAAACAAAACGTATCGATAAAAAAAGAAAACAAAAAACCCTAATCGGTACCGTTAAAATCAAGCGGTGAGAACAACAGCGCCTCCAGCCTCCTTAATTTTCTTCTCGGCGATCTTGGAGACGAGCTTGGCCTTGACGACAAGGGGTTGGTTCTCCGGCAGAACGCCCTTCCCCAAAAGCTTGAAGTAGCCGAACCGCGTGACGTCGATGAGAGGCGCTTTGTTGTCCTTGGAGGCTTGGTCCTTAACTTGCTGAGGGACAAGGGACCATAGCTTGTCGATGTTAAGGATGGGGCAGTGGAACTTGTTGCGGAGCTTGTGGAAGTACCGCATTCCGACCTTCCCGAAGTACCCTGGATGGTACTTGTCGAAGAGGATCCGGTGGTGGTGCATGCCACCGGCGTTACCTCGCCCTCCGGGGTGCTTCCGGTGCTTCCCGATACGCCCGTGACCGGCGCTCACGTGACCCCTCTTCTTCCTGTTCTTCTTGAACCGCGTCGTCATCTTCTCTTCTCTTCTCACACACAACCACTCACCTCCTGCGTTGAGCCCTTGCAGCACCGGAACAACCAAATTAGGGTTTTCTAATTTATATCTCAAGCTTCTTCTTCTTCGGTTACTGTTTTGACCCTCACAGCCCAGGCCCAATACTAAAAACGCCTCTTTTTGTTCCTAAACAGGCTTGGAGTTCAGTTTTTATATGTTCTGCTATTTAGACCGTCGTATTAATTTTTCTATTCTCATCTCAATTTGTTCCTTCTATAAATATAAAATAATAAAGGGTTAAATATGTTTTTAGTCTCTAATCTATTGATCGTTTCTGGTTTTCGTCCCTCTTTCAAAATAAGGTACAATGTAGTCTTCATTCTTTTCGAAACGTTCATTTTAATCCTCGAAACTTTGGTTTTAGTCCTCGTTTTGTTGACTAAATGAGGACCAAATTTTTAACGGTGTTAGTTTTTGAGGACTAAAATGAACGTTTCGAAAAGAATGAGACCAAATTGTACCTTATTTTGAAAGAGGGACGAAAACCAGAAACGGCCAATAGTTTAGGGACTAAAAACATAGTTAACCCAATAATAAAATATTAAATATCGGTGATTATTTTTTTGACATATACAATTTTTTTCAATCTTATACTTTTAGTATCTATTTTTAATTCAAATAATTATTCAAAATATAAAAAAAGTATTTCTCACTTTTACCCTTTATTGATTAGTTTTTCAATCAAATAATTACTCATAATAAAAATAATTAACTCAATAAAAAATTACTTATAATAAATTTATAAAAATTAAATATTTTTATAATAACTATTTTATAGTTTATTAAGTTTTTATTTTAATAATTAAAAGTCATTTTTAATTTAATAAAAAATATAAGAAAATAAAAATAGACACACATGCATAATACATATATTTTTATTAGCAATAAATAAAAAAGAATTCAGTACAAATATATGTTGGGATTTTGAAATTTTGTACCGATATGGCTCATTATTTATAATAGGAAATTATTATGCCATTAAACAAATTATAATATTTAGTTCGTTTGTAGTAATTTATTCTTATTGTAAAAGAAAATTACGTCGTATACTTTATAGTGAGTTAACCATATCACATGTTCACGTGTTGTTTTACTTTGCATAACAATAATATTATAATTTAATTGCATTTTTTTATATTATTTAAGGTGGTTTTTTCTCTTATATCAATGTTAATATTTATTATTCTCATCTTTTTTATAAGATTGCACAATGCATAAAAAAAATGAGTGTATTTTACATATGCAAAACATATCAGACTCTTAAGTGTTTTTAGAGTATTTAATTAAGATTCAAATTTTTGGAAATTGGTATTAAAGTGTAATAACATACTTAAGTGATGCAAGGGGGTTGATCCACATAGAGCTATGGAAATAGGAATGACAACGGATGGATGAAAGCACTCTATGTGTTTGATGAAAGGTGTGGTGTTTCGAAAGTATGTTTGGGTGCGAGTTTGAAGCCTGGAAGGAATCCTATATAGGGAAAGTGACTAGAGGAGACTAGAAGCTCTCTCTGGCCATGAATATGAGGAAGATTGAAGCCTGGAGTGATCTCAACAGAGGTTCAATACTATATTCATCAAAGTGATTACAAAAGGGGAAGGAAGGTGACTTTATAGTTGAGCCAAGCCTTCCCCATAGTGTTAACTAAGTTCTTGATGATCAGGCGCATCTAGTGGATCAATTGTCACATATTAAACATGTTTACAATTCATATGAACATGTGCAGCGTTCCAAAAACTAGCAGATGTTAAACATGTCGAAGTCGCTTGGTGCCCTAGGGTTAGTGCTGGGCATTGTCTTGCTAGGCTAATCCGGAAGTGGCGTTGGGTGAATCCATGGTTTTCCAAGTGAAATATAAGTCTTTAGTTCTCTTCCTTTTGAGTTGTTTTCATGGTCTTCTTGCATATTCATAAGCATGCCTCGAGTGATAAGGCCATTGATGGAGTTAAGGCTTGGCCCCAAGTCATCAAAGTGAAAATATAAACGCCAATCATTCACTCAAAGGAGTTCAAGAACAAAAAAAATTGAAAAGAGAAAACTTAAGAACCTAAGGCAAACAAATAACATACACTAAGGAAAAGAAAGATGTGAAAAGACATTTATAAAGACTAAAAGATAAAAGCTCTAAAGAGGACTCAATGCAAACACTTAAACATGGAAATAAAGCTTAGTTAACTACACATACCAAGATTAGGATCCTAAAATGGTGGAACTAATCTACCATGTTCATCAATACAACTTAGATGTTCTAATTCTAGAATCAATGTAACATAAAGTTTTCTACATAAATTCTTTTCAATTTTATATGTTGTATAGCTCTTGGCCAAGCATTTTTTAGGCACCAATTATGAATTTAATTTTGATTCTATAATGGAATTAAGATTGCCAAAGAGTTTCTAGAAAAAAAAATGAATACTTAGCTAAGCATTTCATTAAGTATGTTTAAAAAAAATCTCAAGAATTTGTAGGCCTATTGTCAAGTACGAGTTGTTTATATACAACCAGGAGAAACTATTGATGATGTATAAAAGAGATTTACACGCATTGTAAATCATCTAACTGGATTAGGAAAAGAATTTGACAAAGAAGAATTAAATACCAAAGGGCTAAATTATCTTGGTAGGAGTTGGCAACCTAAAATCAAAATAATCTATGAATCCAATTATCTATACCATGACCATTGCGTCGTTGTTTGGTAAGTTAAGAGATCATGAAATTAAAATGAATAGGTTGAATAACAAGAAATCCATGAGAACAAACAAAAGAATATTGCATTGAAAAACAACATTATAAAAAGTGGCGATTCAAATGATGAAATAGTTGAGACTAGTGAGAAAGAGAACTTGAATCTCCTTGTGAAAAAGTTTGGAAAGTTTATGAAGAGGAAAGGTAAAGATAGGGGTAATCAAAAGAGGTTTTATTCACATAGAAATGATTATGGTAGTGTTTCTAGTTTTAAATGTTATAATTGTGAGAAACAAAGACACATCAAAATTGAGTTCCTAATTTTAATAAAACAAAGGAAAAGAATGTTGACTGGAGATAGGAAAACAAGATAAAGGAGAAAACAACATAACGCACAAAGTAGCTCATCTCAAGAGGAAAAAACTTATGTCTCATGGTTGGCTACGAGTCATCTTCATCAAGTTAGGCAAGTTCTATATCATTAAAGGAAAAAAATATTATTATCAATTACTACATGCATTTGAAAAACTAGATAATGAAATAAATAGAATAATTGTACTAAATAATCGGTTGAAATGATTAAACAACTAGCTTGAAAATTAGGTTAATGCATTTGAGAAAGAGTTAACTGATTTGATAGAGGATTTTGAAAATCTAGACTTAATCTATAAGAATACAACATATGCATGTGAAAATAATATGATTTCAAAAGGTTGTAAAATATAAATTGATTTGGAAAATAAAATTAAGTACATGATAAAAACTTGTGCAAGATTTATAAAAGGAAAAGCTAATTTGAAAGTTGTTCTTGGTTCTCAAAATTGTGTTTTTGGAAAAGTTGGGATTGGTTACAATCTTTTTTCTGAAAAGAAGGTCAAGAAGTTTTGAAATTTCTTGTTGACACTACAGCTTGAAATCGTAGACTCACTTTATCTTTTCTGCCTCATACTTATTTCTTCTATTCATACACTCCCTTTGTATCTTCTGAAAAATGCTAAAACGCTTTCAGCTCTTTCTTAGATAATGACATCACTACCTTGTCAAAGAAGCTCATCTCTTACTAACAACTAACCTAGGATTAAGATAACCCTTCACACTCACCAATTACCAATAAGAACATGCCCACTATTATCCGTTGCGCTACTCTGCTTCCATAACTGTAACCCGAAACTATTACCCTTCAGAAATCTTCTTCAAAACTTAAACAATCTTGCAAAACCCTAAGAACTATTCATTTCCTTGATAACCTTGTCATTTTGTTTCCTTAAAATTGTTCTTATTCCTTGAAAACATACCTACCTGAAGTCACTCCTGACTCCTAAAACTTATACTAGACTATTCCAACCTATCATCTACTTCTCTTCTAAGATTCTTCAACCTTGTAGTTATCCTTATGATTACACTAAGTTCAAAACACTATTCTCTAACCAATCCACCACCTACCTTTTTCATTCCTCACACTTAATCAAGAACTATCCCATTATGAACTATTAACATTGGTTTTGCTTTAGACACCAATGTAATAGTGAACCCCACCACTCTAATGTGAAAATTCTAGTACCTACTTCAGAACACAAACCAAAAACCCTTACACCAAAATACTTACTACTCTTTTCTTCTACACTTGTCCTCATTAAACTCTACTGATTCTCCTTCTTGAAACACAACACTTCTCTTGAAGACCATAAACCACCAGAAAAAGATTTGAAAACTACCAATCGTTCTTGTGAGCACACCCCAAACTCACAGAAGGAACAACGTCATCTATCCTTAACTTGCATTGGTCAGACATCCCTAATTCATATAACATTAATCTTCATCTTTTTCTTAACCCACACTTGATGCACTACCACTATTCATTTTTCCTTAAAATGAAGAACACTTCTGAAATACCAACAATTACTAGAGCAAAGTTGAAAGACAATCAAGCCTCTTGCAAGATTATACTCCAAACTTATTAAGAAATCTCTTCAAATAAACTTCAAACCTGAACACTTTTATCACTTTGACACGTGCCACATAATATAAAAACTTCAGATAACCACTACTATAACAAAACATTGAAGTCACTTTAGTAATCCCAAAATTTATAAATTCTCTTATCCCTCAAATCATAAACCTTGTTCTAGGTAACAAACACCAAAAGTTCTTCATTTAATACAACATAATCTTTGACTTCTATTTGAGAAGGATTATTCTCCAACTTCTCATTTCTTTCACTCTTATATCAACATCTTTCTTCACAAAATTAATTCATACGTTATCAAAATTCATACAATAAATACTCTTTTGCAATCTCACCAGACAAATGGACTGATATGAATAAGTGATTTTGGCCTTTTTGAAAGTTCTCATCTCATAGCTTTTGTCATGAAATCCTT